AGGTAAGCACTGGGTTGGTTTGTTTTCTCCACCTTGGAGTTAAGACTTTAATTACCAAGTCCCTGCTTTCAATTAAATAAGAACTGTTTTTCTAGAAGATTCTACCCCTGTACCAGGATATGGAGTTACTTATAGCTGGATTTGAACAAGGTGGATGTTATTCTGCCTGGAGCAGCACACTTGGGATCAGCACACTGCTGTGAAGCCCAGTGTAGCCATTGGCTATGGAAAGACTGGAGCTTCCACTCCAACCTGGGGCTAACTTGCTGGCATCAAACAAGGGCTTCTACTATAGTTTGAATCTGGCCCATGTGTTAATAGTTTGGTGCCCATTCGTGGTGCTATTGGGAGGTGGTGGTACCTTTAAGGGGTGGGGCCTAATGGGAGGTCTTCAAGTTGCTGGAGGTATGACCTTGAAGGGTATGGGGGGATCCCAGTCTTCTTCTCTTTCAATTCCTGGTCATGAGGTGAGCATTTATTCTGTCATGATGTGCTACCATAGGCCTTAAGCACCAGGGCTGATTATAGACTGAAATCCCCAAAACTGTGAGCCAAAATAACCTTTTCTTTTTATAAGTTGATTATCTCAGGTATTTGTTATAGTAACAGAAATTTGACTAATACTGCTTTTCATGAAGGTGGGTTGGCTTTGGCCTGTGGGTCTACTTTCGTCCACCAAAAGCCAAAAATCCCTTCGCTTGTGCCTTCAATGGCAAGCTGCCCTTCAGCCTCACCCCTGAAGTGAGTCCCTTGAAGTTTCTGTCTACAGACCCCTCCTCCTGGGTGGATGCACATTCACAAGGAGGACACAGTGGGTCTTGCCTGGRCTCCCTCTCCATTGAGATCACTAGAGAACATGGTTCTGATCCACTCCTGTCACCCCTCTACTCCAGCATAGTCAGGCCTGGGACTTTGAACAGACTGCTCACCTTCCTTCCTTCGATTGCTGGATTCTAGTCACACCCAGACACCTACTTCCTTGAAGACCCATTTCCAAACAGTCTTCCTTCCAACCTGAGTCTGGTCTTTATCCTGGTCAGAGGCAAGGATCCCAAAAGATGGTGTCCTTGAGCAGCCACTGTCACGGAACAGAGAATTTGGAACCTGGCCATCATTTTGAGTAATGGCTTCCAGTGGGGTCCTAGTCCCAAAGCAGCCAATAGAAGCTAGATTCCAAGTACCTGAGGAAGGGAGCCGGAGTGCAGAGGAGAGAGGACTTGAACCACAGGGAGCCTGTACATGGGAGTRGGGGGTGGGGGTAGGAAGACCCAATAAAGAGGATTCCCTGGGCTGTGAGCACATGGCATGGGCTGCGTCTCTGGTTTTTATGTTCCCAACCCCCCACCAGGCTGCTCCAAGGGTCCAAGGATACAGCCTCAAGGTGACATTCTGGTGTCCTGCTTGCTTTCCTCCTGCAAAAATCTCCCTGGGAGAGCACTCCCTTGGTGCTAGTCAGAGGTTCAGAACTTTTAATCTGCTCTAGGACAGACAGGCACAGGAAGCTTTTTCTTGGCTGGGAAATCATGTTGATTGCAGAATAAACCTTCCAAGAACCAGGGATAAAAATAGGTTGTCTGCCTCCCCTGCTGAGCACCGCAGCAAGGCCAGAAGAGAGGAGAGGGGATGGGAGCCCCTTTCTCTATTTCGGGAAAGGAACACCTCACTTGTCAGTTTATTGATAATTACGGAACGTAGAACTTGAAGGGCATCCAGAAGAATGCTTTTGAAACTGTCTGTGTGACTTTAGGGTTCAGGGACGCCCCCAGGGAGCACCATGAAAATAAGTGAAGGGTCAGATTCACCAAGGAACTTCCTCCCAACAGCAGCCAGAAAAGCTCTGCTTTCATTCTGTATCAGSGTCTTTCAGGATGGTTTTGCGACTGAAGTTAGGTTTGGAAGACCATGAGCCAGGCCAATACCTATTTCATAAGGAAAACAAAACGAAACAACAGAGAGACAAGGTGTGGAGAGAAGGAGTGACCTTTTCTTAGAAAGTGAATGGCTAAATCAAGATGAGAGCCTGGATCTTCTTATTTGTGGTTCACTCAGCAGCATTCAGAAAACAGTAACTTAGCACCACCAGGTGCGAAGCGCTTTGGTCATGAAGGGGTACCCTGAGGAGATGGACACTCTGTCTAGTGGAGAGGCAAGATACAGTTCCCCAGATAACAGCCTTTGCATACATAGCTAACTGATTCTCAAAAAAAAAAAAAAAGGGAAATGCAGCTCAGTAATACAGTTCTCCATATTGATTCAGTCAGTGCTTCCAGATCTGGGCAGATGTTGTCTTTTGTTCTTCTACTGAAAAGTTGGTATTGCTGATACACTTCAAGGTCGACAATGATTTTCTCTGAGCGCTTTTGCCTTTCATGTCTTCTGAGAGCAAATGAGAAGGTATCTGTCAGCCTTGTTGCCATCTCTTTGTGGGTGGGATGCCTCTTCTCTCTGTCTACTGTTAAGCTTTTCTCTTGGCCTTTGGTATTCTACCACTTCACTACAATGTAGTCAGATGTATGTTCTGTTTGAATTTGCTTATGCTGCTTGAGATATAATTGTGCCTCCTGAAAGTGTTAACTTACTTATTTAATCAATTCTGGAAAATTCTGAGCCATGGCTTTTTCAAATATTGCCTGTCCTTCAGTCTCCCACTTTTGTCCTTCGGGACTTTAACTATTTGCATCTTAGATCTGTTCATTCTATCCTCTGTATCTTTTATATTTTCTATCTCTGTCTCTTTGTGCTTGATTTTTAGTAATTTCCACAATCCTATTTTCAGATTTGTTAATTCTCTCTTCAGCCATGTTAATCTATTATTTAATTCCCCTACATTGAATATTTTATCTCAATAATCACTTCTGAAAGGTTTGGAGGTGTTTTTGTTTTTGCTTTTTGTACTGGGGAATGAACCCAGGGGCCTTAACCACCAAGCCACACCCCCAGCCCTTTTTTATATTTTATTTAGAGATAGGGTCTTGCTGAGTTTCTTGAGAGCTGACTAAGTTGCTGAGGCTGGCTTTGAACTTGCGATCCTCCTGCCTCAGCCTCCTGAGCTGCTGGGATTACAGGCGTGTGCCACTGTACCCAGCTAAAAATTGTTTTTCATGTATGCTGGGTCTTTCCTGATAGCATCTCTCTGATCAATTATTTGTTTAAAACATATCTTACATTTTTATTTCTTGTTTTGTATCTGGAAACTTCAGGCCCTGTATTTCTGGGTATTTTTTTCCCTACAGTCTTTCATTTTTCTCTCCTGGTTTGTTTTATGATCTTGGATTATGACCTCCTCTTTGCTTCATCTTAATCTGTACTAATCCTGAGAACCTACTTTGAGACACTTCAAAAAAGGACTTACGATCGCTTCTACTTGCCAAAGTACCAAGACTGGACCTTAGTGTCCCCAGTTGAGCTGCCTTGACCTTCCCCTGTTCCAAGGCTTGATCTCTTAATCGATTATCAGAGTGGCATTTATCATCTGGGTAATCTCCCCTTTTATATTTGCTTTCTACTTTCTATCTCCACCTCTAGTTTCAGCTCCTGGTTTTGTTTTAGTTKGCTGAGGTGTTTGGGAAAGGAGGTAGACAGAGGAGGTATTGTTGAAGACTTTCCTCACAGCTTGCAGTTTTCACAGTGCATTTAAAAGTACACGTCGGTTTCTTCAATCATAATAACTTGCACAACTAGAGTTCAGTATCATAATCAGCATATTGGCATCAATATAGTCTATATAATACATATCCCATCTACATTGCCATCACCACAGCATTTATTAAGTTACTGTCATCTAGCAATAAATTTTTTGTCAAAAATTAAAAAAAAAATAAAAATAAAAATAAAAATAAAATAAAATAAAAGTACACGTCGCCCAGAGCCTCATTGCTTCTGCCTGGCGTGGCCCTTCCAGGTGGGTAGACTGCCATAATGCTGGAGGGGGAAAGACCTCATTCAGCTTAAAGAATCCTGCTGTGAATTCCCAGGGCTGCAGCTTTTGATGCTGATGCTTTCAGGTTTCAAGTCCTGTCATCCTGTTCTTTGAGARCTGTGGTAGGCAAGATGCCTGAAGAAAGACATGGATGAGAAGCACTACTTAAGCTTTGTCTTCCCGGAGAGCTTTTCTATATTTTTCTCTTGCTAAAGGAAGCRGCGGCCTGACTCTTTCTGATTCTGTCCATCTCTACCTATCTTTCTTTTATCCCCTCAAATTTGGATGAAAGTCATTACTTTGGTAAGAGTTTCAATCCCTTATCCTTGAATAGCACTTTATAGATTGCAAAATCCTTGCACAAATTCTCATTTGCCTGTCTTCTTAGTTGCCCTCTGGGTAGAGCATCAATGTCTCCACTTCTGAAGAGGATACAGGAGTCCAGAGAAGTTCACCTGATTTGCCTAGAGATGGATCTAATAAAATCTAGTTATCAGAACCTCCACACATCCCTCCTGACCCCCAAACCATTGCTTTTTCCTTTGCTAAACCTGCCTTTCATAAGAAAGTCAATCACATTCATTCATCCAGTACTTACTGCCTGCTGTATACCAGGCACTGTTCCAGGCACAAGGATGTTACTGACAACAAAGCCCTTGCCCTTACAGCCTTTAGGTTACAGTCGAGCCAGTGTCAGGTAATAAATAACCAAGCAACATTACAATACCAAAAAGCGGTCTTTGCCAAAATGAAAGACCTTCTCCAGGGGCAGAACTGAGAGATGAGCATCCCCAGGAGAAGGAACAGCAGGGAGCAAAGCCCAAGGCGGGAAGGAGCTTGGCTAAGGCAGCTCCGAGCTAAGAGCTTGGCTATGTTCTAGGAACACTGAAGGGCTCTTAAAGACAGTGGCCCGGGAAGGAGAGGGTGGTGAGAGATGAGGCAGGAGAGGTAGGGSAAGGCGTTCAGGGAGGAAGGAATGTCAGGCCCTTGGAGCCTCACTTCCTCCTTGCATAGGAGGACCCTGCGTGCCGACTGACGCTGGGTTTTAACARATCTCACTCCGTTTGTGTCTCTTCCACAGGCCTACAGGTTTTCCCAGCTTCCTGAGATGGTCATGGGCTCTCCCCCTCCACCTGTACCTCCCCGGACTGGCCCGGTGGCTGTTGCTTCTCTCAGGCGGTAACACGCTCCTTTCTTTGCTTTGTTTGGAATATTTGGGAAGGTGTGGTCTGTGGACAGCAGCACCAGGAAATGTCTTTCCTGTTCTGCGCTTTCAAGGCACCCACCTGTTCAGACACCTGTGTATCTGTGGCACCCCAAGTGGGGCCCGGGGAGGGTCGGTGGACCAACTCTCAGGACATCCTAAATATCCTGAATAGAAATCCTTGCACATCTACAGTCAAACACACACACACACACACACACACACACACACACACACAAGGTCAACTGCCCCATACCTTGAAAGCCCAGACCCTGACCTTGAACATCTAAAAATGACTCCAACATGGCTGCCACAGTGGCTGCTACAAGTCTGAATGCCTCCTGCAGCCACATTGGACACTCCGCAGCGGCTGCTCTGCTATTTAAGTGTGGTGTCCAGGGAGGAGTGCCTCTGGTCAACTCCTGATGTCTAAGAGGAAGGAGCTGAAAACATAGGAACTCGGATCATATGAGGCATGTGTTAAACCTTTTCTCTGCTCTATAAAGATATAAGAAACACTCATTTTTAATAAATATGGACAAGAAATATAAAAGCCATGAGTAGGAAAGGTTGGGATAATCCTGCTGTCCAGAGTTCTGCCCTGGGGGGTACCCATGGGCCACATCCCTGGCCTTCCCTCCCCAGCCTCCCCGCCAACACACTAGTAACACTCATCTATGGACCACAGGCCTAGATTCTGAAAATACTGAAGAAAATAGGAGTGGCACCCAAAAAAGATCCCGACTCAGTTCCAGTGGTTTAGAATGTGGAGCTGTATAGATGCCACCCCTGGGTGCCAACGGAGACCAGGGTGGGCTGGGGAGCAGCTGAGCAGGGTTCCGGTCCCTGATCTACCAGGAATATGCTGTGTATCCCCAGGCAAGTTGCCTTGCCTCTCTGGCCCCTGTAATGGCCTACATGATTTCAAAAGCTCTGGAATTCCCAGAAGGGGGTCTCAGAAGAGTGTATGGAATAGAACCCAGCAATTTTCCTAGGATGGGGCTTTGGAAATAGTAGCAGAAGTCKGGAACAGCATGTGGGGGAACCCAGGGGAGGGAGGGAGGCCGGAGGGAGGTCTGAGCCACCACCACCCACCCTGCTGGATATCAGATCATTGCAACCCCCACATCTAACCCTCCTGGGGAACAGGAGGGGGCTTCTCTGTTATCCCCAGAGCTCTGGGTTGGAGGGCCTTGACGTCACCATCTGTGCCATGGCCAACGTCTGTTCCTTCGTCCTTCTTTCCACCCCCGTCTCCTCCATCACCCTTTTGCACCATTTGCCATCCTTGCCAAACGTCAGGCRGCCAGAAACCCAGAGAATTAGATCAGGAAGAACATTCGAGGCGGAGTTGTCCACCCCTTTCATTTTACAAAGAGGAAACAGGCTTAGAGAAGAGGCGAACCCAGACCTGCCTCCTGTCTTCTCCCTGCAGTGGCTCTTCTCTGCTCTTACTGTGACAGCCACTCCTCTGTCTGCAGGGGTGGCCCTGTGGGCTGGCAGCCTGCCACCGGCTGTAGCCACCTCTCTCTCCTTCCCATTTATCTGTAGAGGAGCCCAAAGTCCCTTCGGTGACAGGTTGCTGATGAGGAAAGTCGCCTTGGGGATGCACCTTCTGTAGCTGGCGGGACGTCTGTATCCCCCCACCRGGCTGCCACTCTTATTTGCCTACTGAAATAAGATGTGTTAAGTGGACCTGATTCTCTGGTTGTCTGTGGGACCGAAAAATAGAGGGGAGGTTCTTTTATTCATAATGTTCACAAAGTGCTGTTTCCTTGCTCCTGAGAGCAGCCTGAACTTCCCAGTGTCTTGGGCTTCCCACTTCCTGCCATAGTAGCAAATGTGGCCCTGCAGTCACCAACCTGGTCACCTGTGCTAGTGTCGGTGAATCGATGCCCCCTTCCTGCCCCCACATTCTAGATGGAGCCTTCTCATTGGCTGCCAATGATGTCATCACCTCCTAARTTGACCAACCCCAGCTAACACCCAGTGCTAATTGCTTTGCTTCTTTTCCGGAAATTAAATGTTCTCCTGCCCAGAGGCACAAGAGCCACCATTAGAGAAGAACTGACCTTGAACATGTAAAAGGTACTCCAGCTCTGGTCACCCTACGGCTCCTACAAGTCTGAGCTTCTCCTACAAAGCTAGTCCCCAGGACTCCACCCCCKTGGGGCTTGGAGGTCATAGCCTCCTACCAAAGGTATTAGGGATGCTGCMCCCTGCCCCCTGAGGTCTGGGGACCATGCTAACAGAGCCCCTCTGCCCTACCCAGGTCCACCTCAGACATCGGCAGCAAGACCCGAATGGCCGAGTCCGCAGGTCCTGAGCCAGCCCAGCTGCAGGACAGCRCCTCGTTTGCACAGGTGTCCAGAGGCCCCGTGTCTGTGACGCAGTTGGATCAGTCTGCTTTAAATTACTCAGGTGAGCAGGAGGAGGAAAGCTCAGGGCCCTGGTCCCTACTGCAGAGCCCCTCCCCATCCTGGCCCCCAAATCTACTCCGCCTTCCACCTGCCACCCTCGGGAACCAGAGCTTCCACATTTCTGAGTCCCCTCATGACTTCACAATCCTGACTAGAAGAGCTACTGATTTTATTTCTTAAAAGATCTGAAACTGTACAAAACACCAAGTTTTGAAATCAGGGTGTATRTTGACATTTTTCCAGTTCTGTGAGGGGTTTCGTTTAAAGCATTACAGCTGGGCTCAGTGGTGCACACCTGGGATCCCTGTTACMTGGGGACGCTGAGGCAGGAGACTCACAAGTTGGAGGCCAGTCTCAGGAACTTAACAAAATCCTGCCACRAAAACTAAAAAGGGCTGTGGATGCAGCTCAGTGWTAGAACACRCCTAGGTCCAATCCCCAGTATTGAAGGAAGGAAGAAAGGAAAAAAGTAAATTTGATTTATGCTTACAGCTATCCASCCCCTTCTTAATTCCCTTTCCCCAAGATATTCGCAGACCATAAGCAGTGGGTTTTAATCTTTTGCCAAATACATGTCTACATAACAGTATGTATTCATGTCATGCATTTTAATTTTACATAAGTGATATGCTATACATTTCCTTTTGCATTTTGTTTTCTTGATTCAACATTGTTTGCAAGATTTCTCCAGACTGCTACCTACATACTAACTAGCTTATTCATTTAAACTGCCATATGATGTTCTGTGTATGATACGCCACAATCCGGCCTTTCCCTCTTGGTGGACATTAAGTGTTGTTTCCAGTTTTTCACTATGACAAGCMAAGTCCAAATGGAACATCAAGGTTTGTACATGACATAGTTAGTGTTTTAATTCATTCAAACCATACCTTTTAGATTAAAACTGCAAACACCCATTTGACAACATTTAGTAAAGCCTTCACGACGTTCAGGAATTCCACTGGTGAAGTCCATTCCTTTCAATTCTTTTTCWTGGAMCTTTAAAAACATGYATTCTCCCRGCCTCTGGGGAGGCTGAGGCAGGAGGATCCTGAGTTCAAAGCCATCCTCAGCAACTTAGCAAGACTCTRTCTCWAAATAAAATATTTTTAAAAAGGGTTGGGGGAATGTGGCTCAGCGGTTAAGCACCCCTGGGTTCAATTCCTCATACCAAACAAACAGACAACAACAACAACAACATAAATCCCAAACATGCATCCTCCTGGGAGGAAATCACCCAGACACTGGGGTGTCATTTCCTCTTGCCAGCAGGTCAGGGTGTTGGGRTGGGGATGAGAGAGTTGTAAGGGCTCAGTGGGGGAGTTTGGCCGTTAAAGCTTAGAGAGCCTGTCAGTTACAGGACAGGTTGCTCTCCCCTACTGCAGGTAACCGGGGTTGTCTTGCAGGAGGAGGTTTCCTGCTTTCCCTGAACCCCATCTCCAGGACGTTTTCCTCTCATTCTCTAGCTAGGGCCCATGCCAGAGTCCCCCCTGGCTCCCCAGCTTCCTCCAGTCTGAGCAGAGGCAGGCCCCATGGCTGCCAGCTGGGCCTACCACTCCCTCTTCAGGGGATGGGATGGTGGGAAAAGTTCAGAGCCCAGCAAAAGTCTGTCCTTCCCCCAGGAGAGTGCAGATCCCACACCTGGCAAAAGGGCACAGCTGGATTTAGCCCCTATTTGGCCTCTAGGCCAGGTTCCCTGAGCATGGCACCCCCCTGTTGCTCTGCACAGTGTCTCTAAATAAAATATTAAAAAGGAGCCGGGTTCTACAAAGAAGGAAGGCCTGGTTCCCTCTCCTGTGCCCTGTTACTACATTCCCTGGAGCCTCGGCCATCACAGCTGGGGATCACTGTAGCTTAGATAGAGCTGCACCAGCGTCACAGCCCAGAACAAGTGCCACTCCATCAGATCTGATCTAACAAGACCTCAAGCCCAGCTGACAGCCAGGCGTCCTGTGAAACTGGCCTTATGGTAGGCTCTGGGCGGCACTGGATCCCAGAATCCAGCCTCTCCTGATCTGCTCTTCCCCCACCTCTTCCGCGCCAGGTAACACGGTGCCGGCAGTGTTCGCCATCCCAGCTGCCAACAGACCTGGCTTCACTGGCTACTTCATCCCCACGCCTCCCTCGTCCTACCGGAGCCCAGCCTGGATGTCCTACGCGGGAGAGAACGAGCTCCCAAGCCAGTGGGCCGATTCGGTGAGACCCCTGCTGATGCCCTCATAAAATTCACCATCTGGCACACTTTCAGGAGATGCTGGGGTAAAAGCCTGAGCCCCAGAGTTGGGTTATCGCAGCACCCCCCACACTAACCAGATGGCCAAGCCAGTCACTTAACAGACACAGTGAGGGAAGACAGGGTGTCCTTTGGCAGARGAACTTGAGACCTGTTTCCACCACAGATTCTACCTCCTAGCAAGAGACCCTAATCAAGTGAATTTTTATAATAATAGCTACCAGGGGTTGAGTATTTTCTATGTGCCAGACACCATGTTAGATGTCATATGTATAGAATCTTATTTAATCTTCACARAAATCCTATCAGGTCGGTATTATTGGTCCCATGATAACTCCCATTTGGCAGATGAGGAAACTGAGGCCCAGTCAGGTGGTGTGACTTGTCTAATACCTACACAGTGAGTAAGGTGCCGATGTCAGAATTTATACCTGCACCTGTATGACTCCAAAGTATTCATTAAACCTGTTTCTTTTAGCTGTCAGAATTGATAAAATTTTRGATCCAAGGCCAGCAAATGAAGCATTAGAAACCCAAGACTGAAATTACCTTGTATATACATCCTAAGACTTCCTGCCTGACTTCCAGCCAAGGACTGGCTTGTCCTGATCCTTTGGTTTCTTCCTTCTTTACAATTAGGAGTATATGGCACAGTCTGTACCTACCTGGTATTCAAGCCCAAACCTGCCTTCTGGGTTACCTGCAAGGGGGCTTCTATGAGGGGGAAAAAAGCCTAGTGGTGGCCTTTGGAGTGGGTCATCTAGTCCCTGGGTGACACTGCTTACTGTGGATGAGAAAGGCAGGCTGAGCCTGGTGGTTCCCTGGTGCTCTAGGTCATTTTAGGTTGGTCTCAGCATTTGGAGTTAATCCTAGAGTTAGGAAACACCCTGACACCAGGGTCTGGCTCACCTTCTCCCTAGAGTCCAGACTCTCCTCCTACAGCTCCAGCTCAGCTAATCATTAGTGTCTATCCTCCCTCCAGTGGTATGACATTTAAATGACAGCACCTACATGCATTCGMTTTCCTGTTGATCAAAGCTAACTTCTTTGATTTCCAAAACATTGAAAACTGTATGCCATCTTGCATATTTCTGAAATGAATCCTATTCTTTCCCCTTCTTTAAAAGAGGACCTGACATAATTTCGTTTGTCTTCTGTGAACCATTCAGCATCGTTTGGCCTCACTACACCAAGAGAACATTCGTAGGATGAGCTCCAATGGTTGGTAGGATTATTGCCCCTAAGTCAAGTATTTCCAAACTACTCCAATTTGGAGGGTTATTGCCGTCCCTCGTATGGTTCTTCTTTGCCTGATCTTGCTCCCAGCTGGCACTTTATATTGGTGTCCATGTCCCCACTTCCAGTAATACAGATTCTTGAATGTGTTTTTCCTAATGTGCTGTTCTCTGCAAATGAAGCATGTCTGAGCTCATTATAATTGTTTATAAAGTTGGAGTAAATAAGCTCTAAGAGAGGATCTAGAGGGAGTTCCTGCTGCTTCGTCTGTGAATCTTACTGTGGAACTTTATAGCATCTATTTTGGTTGTTAGGGGGCTTCCCCCCCCCACCCCCGTTCTTTTTTCATTCTCTGYTTTTCTGACATCACTGGCTATGATTTGTTTGGTTCAGAGCTTATTTGACTCCATAAAATCGTCTTAAAAGTCTACAAAATAATGTAATACCTTCAGAAAGTAGGTACACACATCTCTAAGTTATACAAGCCGGCAGTAAGCCCACAGCTTTGACAGCTCACTGGCCGTGTGCAGTGTTAACACTGGGTGCTCTGAGAGAATTGGTAAAAGGAAGTATTTTCCAAATCCTTGACCTTGCTCTCAAGACACTTTCAAATGAGAACTTAGCTAGGCTTGTAGCTGTGTTCAGATGCTTAGAGTTCCTTAGATGTTCCTTAGATGTTCCTTAGAGTTGAAGGAAATGGAGCCCAGTAAATGGAAGCCTGACCTTCCTGACAGAATGACTGGATCGTTCTGGGCTCATCCCCCTCAGTGTGAAAGAGAATGAATTTCCTACCAGTTGCTTCTAATGGAGAGAAGATGATGCTGCAGCCTAAATGGTCTTTCTTGGAGCCCAGATACCACCTGCAAAGCAGGGAGGTGTGCCCGGAGCTTGGAGCAAGCTGGGCAGGACAGGATTGAGAGCACGTGAGAAATCATGCAGGAAGCTCAGAGGGACCAGTTGTCAGCTTAAGAAAGATAGTCCCTTGGGGKAGGGTTGATCACACYCTCCACACCAGTKCKAGAAGGAAAAGCAGCCCAAAAGCACCAGCCTGTATATTCTATCATCTTCCCTGCTTCTGGATATTACTAAGGCCACCCCAGTAGACTCAGGTGTCCCTTGCCTGTCCCAGCCACCAAGTCTTGATGCCACAGAGAAGGGGGTCTCAAGAGTTGGAATTGACTCTTTCCATACCAGCATGTGCAGTTAGCTGAATTTAAAATGAGGAYGAGGGGATGTGGCTGCTTCCTTCTCCACCCTTTGACACCTGCTGGTCATCCTTCAGTGATTAAGCCCAGGCTCCAGGGGACCCGCTGCTGTTTGCTTGCAAATTCTGACCACTAGGGTGCAGCAGTGAGTAAGCGAGGCCACGTCCTGCCTTCACAAAGTTGATGACCTGTGACAGGCAATGGCATCAGGAGGGATGACTGTCACAATAGAGAAACTGCAGGAAACACCTAACAGGGGCCTGGGCTAATGTCAGCCTGGTAAAGGTCCCCAAGAGCAAGGAAATTTGAGCTGAGATCTGAAATGTGCTTCCTGTGCCCTGGCCTTGGTTTCAGGTCACCTGTGCATTCCCAGCTCTTGTGGCCCAAGGACTCTGACAGTCCAACTCTGGTTTTCCTCTACGAGGTAGAGAAACCTACAAGTGCTACATAAAGAGACCTGCCATTGCCACCTATTTCCTCCTCTGTATTTCTTTGTTAGGTCTGGGGGGCGGGGGCGGGGAGTGAAAGCCCCAAACACAAACTTAGGATATCCATCCAATGACTTCTTACCCTGCTTGCATCCTGGACCACCGGGTAGCCTCAGAATGCATCACCCCCAGCGGATCCTCCCCAGAGTGTCCTTCCCAAAGCACAGACTCCCCCACTGCCTGACACCCAGCAGTGGTTCCCACGCCAGGGTCAGCTGTGCATCTTTGAAGCTGGCCTTCTTGGTAGGGGTCATCAGAACTTCCAGCAGGGAAGAGAGGGCGCTGCTTTCCCACCATATATTCCCTCATCCAAGATTTCTGATTCATCACCCAACCCCATTGCTATGGTCTGAAAGTCTGTGTCCTCTTCTTCGAATTGAAAAGTAGAATCCTTTCACCCCAAGATGATAAAGGGGCCACACAGGAGGCGATGAGATCACAAGGGTGGAGCCCATGTGAAGGGGATTATAAGAGAGATCCCTCACCTTCTACCATGTGAAAGTGAAAAGATCGTTGTCTATGACCCAGGAAGCAGCCCTCTCCAGACATGGATCTGCCAGTGCCTAGCTCTTGGACTTTCCAGYCTTCAGAACTGTGAGAAATAAGTTTCTATTACTTCTAGACACTTCTGTTTGTGAGATTTTGTTATAACAGCCAAACAGACTAAGGCAGMCATCCGGCTCCATCTTCATCCAGTGCCCAGATGAGCATGTCTGTTTCGAATGGGAACGGGTTGTGTTCCTCAGAAGTGTGATACAGAAAATAGGTAGAAGCACCAGGGAAGCTCAATGTCATGGTCTGGCATTCAGTGGCTTTTGGACCTGCACCTCCCTGGGGTCATTGACCTCCCTGCATCCCTCCCCACCGCCATGCCTTTGAACTTGCTTTTCCCTGTTCCATCTTCCTGGAAGTAGACTGACCCCTGTGGCCTCTCCCAGAGAGCTGCCCACACATGCCCCCTTCCCCACAGCACCCTATGCTGTGGCAGCAGTGTCACTCATTCTGCAGTGATCCAGCCAGCATTATGGAACRTGAAGCTCTCTGTGGACTAGCCTAGAACAACATCTCCAGCTGTGGCACCCTTTCTGTGGAAGAGTCACTTCTGAATTCCATGTCCTTGCCTTGTCCTTATTCCTAAGARTTTCCATGTATTTAAGTATAGAACAATGTGTCTTTCATTTTTAAATGAAAAGAGAACATTTTTTTTTTTCAGGAAACTAGATCATATCCTGTATCCAAGACACCATAGTGCCGGGTTTAATTCCCAGCCCTTGGAGCCAGGTGCGGCTGTGCAAAGCATGCCCCAGTGGCTTGCTGGCTTTTACCACTTTAAACTGGGGGCACACTTTGCTTCGGTATTTAACACCTGTTAAATAAGGATAACAGTACCCACCTCCTGGGCTGCTGCYGAGAATTAAATGAGATAATGTGTGSAGATCCCTTGGCACAGAGTTCCAGGATTTGTAGCTATTATAGAGAAGRAACCCCTGCACTCCCAAGCAATAGTTCTAGTGACTGGATTATACTTAAATTAATAAGGAAGCCAGGAGGTTCAGATGGAGACTCAGATATAGTCCTAATGTTTTCAGCAAGATTTAAAACACCTATTTAATTCATCCAACCAGCATATTCAGTGAGTCCAAATGACCTGTTTTCTGAATGCATTCTAGATCTTGTATCCGTACAGTGGTACTTGGCTTCCATTTTTCTGTGTTCTTTTAAACCCCTTTCCTTGTCCTCAGTCCCCTCCTGCTTCCAGTACCCAGCGTGTCCTGYGACTTGAGCTCCCTCCTAACCCCGGGCCCTTCTCTTCTCTCCCAACGTCCTCCACAGGTCCCCCTCCCCGGGTACATCGAGGCCTACCCCCGGTCCCGGTATCAGCAGAGCTCACCCTCCAGGCTTCCTCGCCAGTACAGCCAGCCCACCAACCTGCACCCCAGCCTGGAGCAGGCCCCCGTGGCCTCCGCAGCRGCCTCGCAGCAGAGCCTGGCAGAGAACGACCCCCCTGACACCCCCCTGACCAACATCTCCACCGCRGCCCTGGTGAAGGCCATCCGGGAGGAGGTGGCCAAGCTGGCCAAGAAGCAGACGGACATGTTTGAGTTCCAGGTCTAATGCCTTAGCCCCGTGGGACTCTGCACTTCTAGACTCCAAGGAAGCAGGCTTTGGGTCACTCACACCCAAYGTGTGGGGACTTGAGACATGGACAATGGGTGAATCTCACCCTCAGTTTCAGAAACGGTGAACAGGGGGGCTTCTGAGAAACAGAGGACGTTCATGAACGCCTGGATTCTTGGTTTGTGCAACTGACGGTGGGTCAAGACGTCCCTGCTTGGGACCATGTGAGTGATACTCTGTTAGGCCGAGTGTTGGAATCATCCTTASGGTCTATTTCTCTAAGGAGCCTTAGTCACGAGAGGCACTAGCTAATGTACAGATTCCTGTCCAATGCTACATTTTAATAAATCACCAGAAGGGGGAGAACCYAGCTCTATCTTCGGTGACCTCTGCATGTTAACTCTTTCCGTGTTAAAGGCAATGTAGGAGTGTGAATTAAGCACCAGCCTGTACTCTCTCACTCAGCCACRACCATGATCACTAACGTCATCTCTAGCCTGTAAGGGAGACACYGACTGCAGCCAAGAAACTTGAGTCCCTTTGCTTTTAAAGGCTCAGATTCAAAGTCAAATGAATTGGATGAAAATCAGTACCAGTGGCTATGCCTATAAATAGCCGTGATCTCTTTCTTCCCTGTGAATTCAAGGTGGAGAAAGAGAGAAGATGAGCAGGAAGGGTGGATTTGTGTTGACAGAGTTTTTAAAAGGTGTTGTCATTTTGGAAATAGAGTACCCTCCAAGTTGGGATCTAATGGAAAGAGAGAATCAGTGCCAAGAGCTTTTAGGGTCCTACAAAAGAAAAACATTATTTGTGGAGGGTTTTCTTTTGCAGACTTTGAAGGTGGCACAAGAACAGAGCTTCTGTCTTTGGGGGGGATAATAGATGCATTGACTTTTCCAAGAAAATCTTATCTGTTCAACAGCGATGACCAGCATGTGCTGCCGAATGGTGCAAAAGGAAATAGTCACTGGTTCCTGTTAGAAACTCGASTCGTAACCTCACAGTCGTCCCAGGCCTCGGCCTCTGTTTATAGAAGCTTCCGAATATAGGAAATCTGTTGATAGGAGTTTCAACATAAATAACTTTTTACAAAGTGTGTGGAGTTCACCAGTTCTCCATWGCTGATGGATGTAGGAAGACACTTGCTGAAGTGACAGGGGTCCTACCTTGTGACCAGGACGTTCYGTGTCACCCTCCCTGGCATGGAGATGTTGATCTCCAGATCTCTGGGTGGAAGACTTCGCCCACAGCACTGGGTGCCAACCACTGATTACCTGTCATGCAAGCAAGACAGCTACTGACTGTGGGTCACAGAGGGACCSGGGGCACTAGGCTCCCTGCCTGACTTTGGGAGCCACGTGTGGTGTTGGGGGCTTGCTTGGTGTCTGTTGGAGAACGAGGTCCTGTCCTGCCTTTACCCATGATCCATCAGCTTCAGCTTGCCCATTCCCTTCTGAGCCCACCTTCCCATTGTCCTCATGAGTTTCTTTGGTCTTTACTGAAGGAAGCAGGTGAAAATAGGAAAGTCGAGGAAGAGTAGGAACAGAACCATATTTGAATGGGAGATTCAAGCTGTCAAAGCACAGGCTTTTTCAAGAAGCTGTTTTTATTTCCCAATGGCAAATAGCCCTTGTTTAGAGATGATGTGTCATGGAATTCCCCAAACAAGACTCTTGTTCGGATGATATTAGGTAGTGTCCTTTTAGTATGCTGGTTGATCTTTCATAGTGTTAGTTTTTTGTTACTTAAAAAGAAATCAGCTATAAATAAAATGTATTTTTGTAATTTCCACGTTGTATATATGGTATATTTCTACCAATGGCCAGTTGTTGTAGTCCAAAACCTAAGTCAGCTTGCAGAACACTGTGGACAGTGCGAGATTTTACTGACAGATTCACACGATGCCTAAGGCTATCCAAATAGGCATCCAATGCACTTGAATGAACAAAGAGCCAAAGAAACTCAGCCTTTTCATGCAAATGGTATGAGTCTGATAAAATCAGCTACATTGTCCTGCTTTATCAATAATATCAATATTTCATCAGTRCAATGATATTAACCCAGTACTTTGTCTGCTTGGTAAATGCCTGGAAATACTGTATGCAAAAATGAAATTTCAAGACCTGAGTGTCGTTGAAATATATGTACATGTTTCAAAAGACAGTGTCTGAGCTTTGGATGTTCCAGTGACACACAGACCATAAATCTATAGTTTGCAGTGGTGTGACTCCAGATGGCTAAGGGGATGAAGCTCTAGATATCACAGTCTTTGCAGAAATAGGTGGTCCCCACTTGAAACGCTTGAGAAAACTCAAATATAGTGTGCTATATCAGACACTCACTTAAATCAGACGTCACGGGTTCAAGAAAAAGTCTTTGAAAGGAAAAACTTACATTGAAAAGAAATCTGTTCATGTTTTCCCACCAATGGGGAAGCAGAGTCATTGTGTGGTTTTCTGAGACTAAGATTGTGGTCCCTTCTCTGAAGAGTCTCCTAACCTTATGGAGATGACAGATGCCTGGGCAGGTGACTCTGAGAAAAGACAGCTAGTCAAAAGTGCCTCATGGAGGTAAAAATAGGATTCCGTGAGAGCTTAGAGGAGGCAGCAGTGACCTCCGTGTTCATCGWGATCCTCCAGGCAGACGCAGAAGCCATCATGGACCTCCATGACTTGGAGGAGRAAGTCTGGACAAGTGGAGGAACTGGCCTGAGGATTCACCATCCAACTTGCTCTCCATYTTCCATGCTGCCTGCACACATCKGCGACMCATTCCTTTGTGCCTGCAAGTTTAAAAAATAGACAAGGGTCCTATGAGGGACTTCTTAATGTTCTTGCCAAGGCAACATATGGTGGAGTATGTCAGGAACTTTGGATACAGAGGACAATACCTTTGGGGCCTAATAAACATTTTCTCATCACTGGTTTTGATGCAAGTTTTTCTGCATTCATGAAAAAGAACTGCATTTTGGCTTTCCCCAGAGAGTCCTATCCGGGAAATGGTGTCCTCCACTTTTGTTCAGAACTGGGGTGGGGAGGGGGTGTGTGAATTCTTATCTTGGCACAGGCAGGAGAGCACTGACAGCTTGTCATTGTGAGAGAGCAGATGCTGTGCTCTGCATCTGGGGAGGCCATCCAGAGGTGCAGGAACACAGAGGTCTATTGTGTGGCCTGGCACCTGTGATCTGAGGCATGTGCAATAACAAGACAGCAACTGTTACCTGTGGGGAAGAGCTGCCTCTTCAAGGGTGGATTATATAAGAATCAATTCTCTAGTCCGGGGAGAAGTTATCTTGTGCGTTTGTTATTTTAAGAATCCAGCAAAAGGGCATGTAGTTTCTGAATAATCTTGATGGAAGAAATGAAATCATTTGATATATGATTTAAAAAAAAAAGAAAAAAGCTCTTCTGAGAGAGAGAGCCTGTAGAATAGAAGGGGTGAGGAATCTAAATACCTTCTGGAAGAAATGCTTTTCTAACTTTAAGGCAGAAATTGGAGAAGTGGATCAAAAATTTTAATACCGATTAATACTGATTACATATAAATGAGCTTCTTTTTTTTTTCTACGTAGCACACAGGTGCTCAAAGTTCAATGAATGCATTTTTTAAAGTTTGATGACAGGATCTGAACTTAACCCTAAATTCCTCCTACCACACACCAGAAAATAATTTGGAGTTCCCCCACAAAATACAGCTAAAGACTTTAAAGAAGGATAATAATTTGGCTTGGAATAGGGACTGAGTGGGGTCTACGTATTGGAAGTTAAATTCTGCCCTTCAGTCCAACCTCAGAGGTATTCTGGTCAAGGAATTTTGCAGGGACGAGAAACCCATTTACACTCGCACAATGTGGAGGTTGACTGAAAGAATTCAGGAACATTTCACAGAAACTAAACGCAGCTCCCTGGCGGCAAGGGATGGAGGCAGCCACCCTGGCGCGCACTCTCTTGCTCCTTCAGGGTCTCTCCTCATGGAGCTCATCCGTTTCTCTCTGCACATCTGCTCGGATCTCTTGCTTCCCGTGGCTTACTCATTAGCAAATATGTAGCTAACGAACCCACCCCAGGACTCACACTACTTGACCTTTTCTTCCTTCCCAGAGCCCACCCCTCTGACTAGCATCTCTGTGCCCCCGAAGGTAAATTCTGAAGAATCTGATTGGTCCAGTTCATCTGGCTCTGGGTGAGCCTCCTTGGGGTCAGGTGCCTGCCTATCCAATCAGCCATGACCTGGGAGTCAAGGTCCTGTCATACAAGCATGGCTTCCTGGGTTGACTCTTTCAAGGGGGAGTTTAGAGGTGGGGAGGATTAGTACCCAAAGGAAGGAGTATGACTGGGCAGGACCTTCTAAGGGAACCTACTGCACACTGGAAATGACGAGTCCTGCTAGAATGCTACAGAGAAGGTAATATTCAGAGGGCAATCCCTATGGATGCTGCCAAAGAGAGAAAGAGCATTCTCACTTTCCTATAGGTGAGAGTACATCCACTTGGGACCCTAGTAGACTGGCCTGAACTGCCCTGGCCCCTCTGACCCCAACACCAGTTACTGAATACTGCTGCTGGGCCTAAGAAGGGATTTCTGACCAAGGCCCAGTTAGCACCATGTCTTGCTCAGCAGACAGTAAATACTTGTAAATTGAATTGCATGATCTTAGCTCAGGTGCTATTAACGTGGCTCATGGCCACACACTTGCATGGATGAGAAAACCAATGAGCCTCTCAATAGAGTCTTTTGAAACAAAATTGGTTTCAAGTGAAACTGATATTATAGTGGCTCTGACCTTCCGGATATAATAAGTTAGTGTCCTGAGAATTGAAAGGTCTCTTGATTTCTTAGGTGAACTGTTAAAGAATGCTAGACTGTTGTGGGCTGAGGATATAGCTCAGTTGGTAGAGTGCTTGCMTTGCATATGCAAGGCCCTGGGTTCAATCCCCAGTACCACAGAGGAAAAAAATGCTAATTGATAAATACTAAAATGTAGGGTGTTTCTGAGAAGGAATATTTAGGAAATATAATTGTGCCAGAAACAAATTCTCTTAGGAGATATTGAGTCACTTTGGTTCTGCAGGTTTTAAAGATAAAGAAATTTTTAGTAAGGCAGAATTTGTCTCCAAAGGTCAGACCCATACTTTAGTGAGAGCCATTATACAATAAAATCTAGATATTGATTATTTTCATTCTCTGACCTTGGTCACAGACTTTTGTAAATCATGGAGGGAGGCCATTGATGTATTTTACATAAATTAACCCTGGGCTCGCCTTACTTTTCCTCAACTCTTCCTTCTGTCTAAACTCACCTCCACCCCCCACACACACAATTTGAGTGGAGAAAAAAAATTGTACCCAAGAGAATCAGAGGAGTATCAATGGACTGGAAATTTTAAAGAGATGTAAATATTCTAGACTTCGAGCAACTCCCTTTGAATTTGTCTTTAATTCCTCATCTATCAAAAGGGTATAACATCTGTACTTCCTACCTCCCGTGCTGGTTGTGAGGAACCCATAGCATAATGTATCTGAAAAATGTCTGGGCATGGTGGCTCATGCCTGTAATCCCGGTGGCTCATGAGACTGAGTCAGGAGAATCATGAGTTCAAAGCCAGCCTCAGCAACAGTGAGGAGCTAAGCAACTCAGTGAGATCCTGATTTAAATAAAATACAAAATAGGGCTGGGGATGTGGCTCAGTGATTGAGTGCCTCTAAGTTCAGCCCTCAGTACTCCCCCTAAAAATAAAAGTATCTGAAAAATGGTTTGAGAAATATGTTTGAAGGAATTCCCACTAAAGTATTAGCTTCACAGTTCAGTTTTATCCAGCAAAATAGTTCAGCTCCTCCAACCACTGAATCGATTTTTATTATCATGGGTTCCATGACAAGACTTAAGGAAAAATAAAGAAATTCCTAAGTTTGGAA